TATTATTATTATTATTATTATTATTATTATTATTATTATTATTATTATTATTATTTATTTATTATTTTTTTGTTTTTTTATTATTATTATTGTTTAATCATTATTCTATATTTATTCTACAATATTTAAAGCATTTTTGCCCTGAATTTTAAAATCTGTAATCTTTGCTGTCGTTGCCTGCTGCTGTCGATAGCTAAACTAGATGCAAGCGGGCTTAGATGAGCTGCCATCTGTGCTCATCTGGAATATCTATGTAGAACTGTATCACTCACTAAATGTCTTTTCTCGCAAACCAGTCAGCTCACGTTGTGGCTAATAGCAATGAAAACCAATCAAATACAAATACAATTATTTAGCAGCACTACGTCATATATAAATCACATTTAAAAACAAAGAGGTCTATACATAGCTCACACACGATTTCGCCGTTTGCTGCGCATTTCTGAGGCAAACTTGACTTTAGCGAATTTCGGGGCTAAAAGTGATAATATGTATTTTGTTTACAAATTCTTCTAAGCCAATATATATTTGTTGCGCTTGGCTAAATTTATTAGACTGTAGATTTAATTTTAATTTATATTTCATAAACAATATTAATTAATAATTTATAAATGTGAAAATGAATAAGAGGGCGATTCTCTAAGATATATAAAGGTAATAATTGAGTTTCTTTTTTGACAAACTTTTTCTTTTACAATCGCTTGTAGACTTAATTAATTAATACTTAGTTAATACTTAAGTAAGCTTCCTTTAAACTTTTCGTGTAGCATCGATAAACTGTTGACAACTCGAGAGCCAAATTTAATACTCATCTCGATTCAATCAGTAAATCGTAGCCTACTCTTTGGCACTGATTGAACAGCGACAAAACGCGAATTACTTTTTGGCCTGCATCGTGGAAGTATATTAAGACAAACTTGCAGCTCAAGCAGAACAACAGCTATAAAAGAAATATCAAAATATACCTATTCACGAAACGAGTGTATTAGCTCTGAGCAATGTTCATAGCATTGTTTTCTGCTTATTTGTATGATCTTCTTCGAGTCTATTGAATATGTGAATGCAGCAACGGCATATCCTTTGGAAAATACACACAAATAAATGTGTGTAAATATCCGAATTATACTATAAACATAACAAAAATATTTATTATGAATGAGAGACAGAATTCGCTCTTCTCACACCATACTATGCTATGCTATTAACAGAATTATGTTAATAGCATAGCTCTAGCAACAGTTCTCCTACGGGTTCTACCATCCCGCTGAGTACTTCGTCTCTCACCCCCTTCTCACTTGTCACTTGCCTCTCCTGGTATTGACACTTTTATATTATACAATTTATACGAACTTACGTATAAGGACCTTACGAGCACACATAATATTATTCATAAATCCTTGGCATATATAAGCAGAAAAATATTCTTCCTCTATTTCCACCCTCAGCATATTGAATTTAGGTTAATTATTGTATATTGACTTTATTTTACTTACTTCTTTAGTCAGTGCTTATAAAAATTGCTAGTGTTAGCAGCTCCGAGCTGCTCTAAATATTTTAAAATACATCAAGACTATACACAAACCTTAAACTTTATAAAACATATCGAATTGTATTATCAAGGCCATTAACATCATCATCAGATGATATCAAAATATCATATATGGGCTACAATGTTCAACTTATTCAAAAGAAACATTTCCGAGCTGTGTGAATGTGCAGCTCTTCACTCAGCTAAATGTATACGAAATTCATTAGCTCAATCCCTAACTCATTTCTATCACAAACGAAACAGGTTATCAATGACTCAAGACATTTTTGTTTTATTTTAGTTTAGTTTTATTTTCTTTCAAAGTGCCAAAAGCCACGGCTGAGTGCAATCTTTGAAAATCCGCCTGCACCGAAAATCTTACTAATGGCAGATTCAAAGCATTTATGATTTATTTACAAAAATCTTCATAACCGGTTCTCAAATAGAAGCCAAAGGCACTTAACAAGTCCACAAGATGTGTGTTTAGTCGGGAATCGAAAGCCAAGCCATTTGCCAATATTGAAAACAAAAGTAACTATAGAAAATGATTTCAATTGATTCGCTTTATGGCATAGTTGCTCAAATTAGCATATAAAATGCTTGAAGACTATATTTCATATTGGGGCGGAAAACAAATAAAATCAAATTAGTTTGGTATGTGTGCCAAACTTGTTTTCGCTGAGCGTCGCCTTTGAGATAACATTTTGAATGGGCAGATCTTTATGAATTGGCCTGGTCTAATTTGTCTGGTGTTGCAGTTCGGCTTTGTGACAAATTGCGAACGAGTTGGCGAACGAGCGCGCTTTGGGGCTCAATCCAACCAAGTGTTGAACACTATATCAGCATTTTCGAGCTCGCTAATTTGCTAATATGGGCGTGACTGTGAGACCCATAACTCACAGCCATAATTGACTGATGCGCCTGAACTGGTCGCTCCGTGGCCAGCAGCCAAAGCTGTCGCTGTATAAAAACCATCGCCGGGCTCCACAGCGGCATCAGTCAACGATCGTTCTCTGTGTTCTACGACGACAAAAATCAAAAAATTAAATAAATAAATATGTTCAAGAAACCAAAAATGATTGTTTTCCAAGCCGTAAGTAGCCGAGTGTCTGGGATTAGCTCTGGTTAATAAACACTGCTTGTAGGTGATGATTTGCGTCATCTTGGGCATGGCTCACGGCTCGCCGCTTAAATCCTTTACCCGTCAGCCTGTGGCTCATCAACGGGTCGCGGTCGCACGGGTGGGAGTTCCCCTAATCAAAAGTGATGATGTGAACGCCGTTGTGGTATCCCGATCGGATGATGTGCGTCCCGATGGATTCGATACAAGCCTGGACACCTCCAATTCTATCAGTAGCATCGCCAGCGGCGATGCTTACGGCAACATCCACGGCTCCTTCGGCTGGATCTCGCCCGAAGGCAAGCACATCCAGATCTCCTATGTTGCCGATGAGAATGGCTATCAGCCACAGGGCGACGTTCTGCCCACTCCCCCACCAGTGCCAATCGAAATCCAGCGCGCCCTGGATTATATTGCTGCACATCCTCCAGCGCCCGAGGGCCAAATTGTGAGGAAAGCAATATTTGGCTAATCAGCTATGATTAAATAATAACTCTAAAAAAGCGAGCAGAACAAATAAAGTCTATCAAATGAGAATGTTAAATATTCTATATTTTAATTTTGATCATGATTATTGCGGGTTTGTTCCGGGTTTTCATACCCATTGATCGTGTGAAATCAGGGTATATTGGTTTTGTGAAGACGGCGTGGTAGATTCCATGAAGTATGTCCATGATTGATGAGTGCGACGAGCCATCCGCGCATTAAAAAGTAATTATAAATATATATAAATGCTCATTGCAGGGTATCCTCTAGTCATGCAGCCTCTGACTTGGCTGCCTACTTCAGTCACACTGCAGGTCCATTCATCGAAAAGCTTGTGTGATTAGCATTTTATTAACTGAGCAACGATTTCAAATACCTTTCATGTGTTGAAGGCATTTTTACGAGGCACTAGAGATAATATGAGCCGTACAACCGTACAGATGGGAAGATTTAACTAGGTTAAATCGATCGTAAATCGGTTTCATTATAGACAAGTTTCATTAAATCTCTCTTTCTCTCTTTCTCTCTCTCTCTCTCTCTCTCTCTTGTGATCCCAGCTTATTTGAGAACCCTGCTGAAATGGTTCAAGCAATACGACTACAAAAACATATGCCTCTGGGCTGGGCCTTTGCCATATATCATGTTTGTGGAAAACAAATATGTGGAGGTAAGCGAATCGTATATGTTGTATGTACATACTTTCGATTTCTGTTCGTTTTAGCATATATTGAGCAGCACTGCTCTGACCTACAAGTATGAGCCGTACAACTTGCTCTATCCGTGGCTGGGCAGTGGCCTGCTCACTGGCAATGGCCATCAGTGGGCGGTGCGGCGGAAGCTGATTACGCCCTCCTTTCACTTTCGCATACTGAGGGACTTTCTGCACATTATGAACGAGACGAGCGGCCGTTTCATGAAGCTGCTGGAGCATGAGTCGCAGGCCGCTCAGGGCGCTGCGTTCGATGTGCAGGCGCTGGTCACCCGGAACACAATTGATGTCATTTGTGGTGAGTGCGGCTCAACTCAAGTCAACTCAACTCCAGTCAATATTCCATTGTTATCCGCAGAGACGGCAATGGGCACTCGTGTGAACAGCATTGAGGGACGACCATCGCCGATTGTGGGCGCCATCGACAGCCTCTGTCACATCGTCTCCGAGCGCGTCTTCTCGCTGTTCAAGCGCTCCGACAGCTTCTTCAGGTGCACCAGGCTATACAAGCAACAGCAGCAGGCATTGACGACGCTGCGCACTGAGTTCGCTCAGGTTGGCAAGGCGCGGAAGCATACCAATGGACTCGGACTCAACTGTTTTTCATTTGTTTGCATAGATCATTGAGCAACGTCGTCGACTGATTCAAACAGCCAGCTTTGAGGCCCCACAGCTGGACGACGAGCTGCTGGACGCCAAACGACCCAAAATGGCATTCCTCGACAATCTTCTGACTGCCGAGGTGGATGGTAAGCCGCTGACCTTTGAGGAAATATTTGAGGAGGTATCCACGTTCATGTTTGAGGTGAGTTGGGATAGCCTTAAAGAAATGAATAAACTGCAATGAAATTTATCATTGATATGCTGTGTTATCAATATGCACATTAATAAATTTTATTTAATGAAATTTAATAAATTTATATTAATATGAATATTAAAATTAAGTTAAGTCAATATGCACATGGAAATTTTTATAATTTATATTATTTAATATGAATGTTTTGATATACATAATAATTAATATATATATTATAAAATATAATTTTCAAAGATTTAAATTAGTTTGCTTACTGGAATTAATTTGAATCAATATAATTATGTTGGCGTCATATACAAGTCTTTGTCTATTATATTAATGCTTTTATTGCTCTACTTTTTTCTATCGATCTCACATCGGCTTGATTATGTTCAGGTTGCGCTCGTCGTTCCGACAAAAATGTGAAGCTCACCTTCGTTTAACTAATGCTCGATGCTCGTCGATTGACAATATCACATACATACATAGATGTAAAATGGCATCACGACAATCATTATCGCTTGCTCGCGCTCTTATTAAATTGCGAGAATTCAATGTGAACAATAAAGCGAACAAAAATTAAGTGAAGCAAAATTATTTGAATGCATGATAAAGTAACATTTGTTGCAGTTCTCTCTGTTCTCAATGTTTTCGTGTTTACTCTCACTGACTTCACTCCCCTTATGCTCGTTAGCTAAGCTTATTCTGATCTTGTATGTTCAATACATTATTAAGATTTTTTCAAATAAGCCAAAATTATAGCCCAGAGCATTTGGACATTTATAAAATAATAAAATAAAATATAAAAAAATATTTATAAAAAGAATTAATAATTATTTTATTCATAATAATTTATTTAAAACACTTCAATTTATTTGTGGAAAAATATTTATATTTCATACATATATTCCAGTAAGGAATTTAAAAATAAAATAAATACATAACGAAATAAATAATAATAATATGTAAAAATAAAAATAAAAGAAATATATTTTATGTGTGTATTTTTTAATCATTTATATATTTTTTTTGTAAATTAAACATTTTTAGGATAAGTATTTATAAATAATCAAATAATATAAATAATAATAAAATAATATATATTTTAATATCACACAATATATTTTTATTACTTAAAAGTAATTAATGTTTTAATATTAATTAGTAGTTAAGTATCGCTTTTTATTTTATAAACATTTTATTTTTTTAATAATGTAGAAATAAAAAGTTAATGAATTAATTATAGTTCTATTAAAATTTCTAAACAAAAAATCACGTAAATATAAATCAAATATATTGTATAATTAATTAATAAATATACTTAGGGCCATGATACAACTGCTTCGGCCATCACGTTTGCCATCTGGTGCCTGGCCTGGTCGCCCGATGCGCAGCAGCGAGCCTATGAGGAGCAGGCGCTTATGTACGCCACTGCAGATGGACGAGAGCGTGATCCCACCCACCAGGAGCTGCAGGACATGAAGTACTTGGATCTGGTCATCAAGGAAACATTACGCTTGTTTCCCAGTGTCCCGTTCATCTTTCGCACAATGCGCGAAGCAACAACAATATGTGAGTGCTTAAGCCTTAAGCCTCTTTCCACTCAATGCTCAGCCATCTACTCCACAGTGGACAAGCACCTGCCCAAGGACACGACGATTGGGCTGCCTATTCTAGCCATTGGCCATAGTCCGCACAGCTTCAAGGCGCCCTACGAGTTTCGCCCGGAACGCTTTGAGGCAGCTGAGCGAACAAAGGCGAATGCCTTCGACACTGTGCCCTTCAGTGCGGGCCCCAGAAATTGCATCGGTATGCTTCCATCTATATGATACGTCACTTTTACTTAACCAGCCATTGACAGGTCAAAAGTTTGCTCTGCTGGAGCTGAAGGTGACGCTGTCGAAATTGCTGCGCAGATTCCGTATCCTGCCCGCTCCCCTGGCCAAGCAGACCATAGCACAGGTCTTCGATCATACGTATAAGCCAGGTCCGCAGGAACTGAGGCTGCACCTGCCCATTACCCTGAAGTCCTTGAGCGGGGTTCCTGTTAGGCTACAAAGGCGATAGGAGCTGAGGAGAATGTGTGTCGGAATTTATTTAGCTACGGGGGATGGGGCTGACGGCTAATTATTTAAGCTGTATAAATTTAATATTCGTTAAAGTTATTATTATTATTATTAGTGTTTTTACGGAAAAAAAGGACACTCTTTTATTAGTATAATTCTCTATTTTGTAATTCATAATATTGTTTAGAAATAAATTTTAATAAAATGGATCTCAGGTTATAAGAAAAAAAAAAAAAAATTCAACTCAATTTTATTAAATATACAAATTTTTGTTGTTAAATATTTTTCAGAAAATATTACTTAAATATAAAGTACATTTAATTTTTGTAATATATTTTATTGGTAATTAGATGAATGAAAACGCAGTTTTAAATTAAAGTCTAATATGTTTATTAAATATACTAGAACAAATATCGAATCGACTCTCAATTCAATCAATTTGCCAGTTGTTGCACAAAATAATTCAACATTATTTACGAATATAATTTGTTTCTTCCTATTTGATTTTTAGAATAAGAAATCCAAAACTCAAAACAACAAACCAAAAGACAACAGCATTAATTTAATAATTAATAAAAATATTAATGCATATCAACTCGTAACCCTATCAAGCACATAAATATATTCTTGAGCAGCGTTAATCCGATTTAATTTTGCGTATTTGTTTGTATATCTGCCTCTCTGTCCGTTTGCTTCTCTGATTATGTGCCTAAAAAATGGAAGAGACGAGGAGAACTACAGAAAATCATATTAGTTGTCTACATGTATGCAGCAGTGAGTAAAACGAAGCTAGAGTGCTTACAGCAGCAGCGAGTGCTCCCATTGGTCACTTAGATCTGGACTTCGACGACCTCTAATTGGCTTAAAATTTGAGCGCAACTTGGTGTGTGTGAGAAAATCCGCCTATATAAAGGGCTGCAGCTGCAGCATTTCTTCAGTTGCTCAGGCTTGGTGGGGGTCAGTATAGTGAAATGAAGTAGTGTGTATAAATATTTAATGATCGTTCAGCATTAAACACATTGCGGAAACACTTGGAAGAAATACTTAGCGGAATGACTTAGAAGAAATGCTTTAAGAATATACTTAGAGGAACGAAATACTTAAGGGAAATACTTAGTGGAAAGAAATACTTAAGGGAAATACATAAGAAAATACTTAAAGGAAATATTTAGAAGAAATTTGTAGAGGAAGTTTTTAAAGGAAAGATTTAGAGAAAAAAGTTCTTTGAAGGTTTCCTCAGGGGAAATTCTTAAAGAAAATACTTAGAATATATACTAGAAGAAATTCTTAGAGGAAACATTTAGCGGGAATAACTTTATAATTACATTTGGTTAGATTTGCACATTTTATTCCATTACCATTATTCACTAAAATTATTTAATTTTTTTTATAATGTATTTAAAAAATATATTTACATTTTTTATATAATATATTTTATTTTTATATAATATTGTATTATATATGTATCGCCTTTTTTCAGATATTAAAATTTATTTAATTTAATGGTGGATATGGCTTAAATATAATAAAGCCATATCCACCATTAAATTAAATAAATTTTAATATCGGAAAAAAGGCGAAAAGGTGTCGTAGGTTATTCAAAAAGTAAATTATAGCAGAGCTTTGTCGATATATTTAAAATAAATAAATTTAGTTGCTCTAACACATTTGTATTAAAAATGGAATAATTGTCGCATAAATAAAAAGCTGTTCCTAATGGCAAAAGAGGTTATTCCAAATATGCGAGCATTAAAGTAAAGCAACTTGATATTTATTGCAGAAAGTCAAGCGATTAATCTTTCAAGCAAACGCAGTTGAATGTGTGATATGAGCTCATTGATATTTAATATGCATATATAAATAACTGTACACAAACGAAATGCAACAAGCTGTGTAAAATCATCAATTAATTACTTTGAATGGATTTTTTTCAGTTTATTGAGCACTCTGCTGCGCCGCAACTTGTTGTTTGAGCCGGATTTGAATGCCATTTTCGGATTTGAGCGTTACGCGAATGTTGAGCACCGGATCGTATTCACTCTGCGGCACGCAGTCCACGCGTGTGTGGTCATTGATGCCCGGCGGCAAACCATCCACGGCGGGCAGAATTTCAAAGTGCCGCACCATCAGCGAGAGCAATGCCTGCAGCTGATACATGGCAAACTTTTCGGCTGTGGGAGAGGATTGGGATTTGGTCAAGTTGAGGGCTGGGAGCTGGGAGCTGCACTGCTGTCAATGCTTACCGATGCAGCGTCGGGGGCCAGCGCTGAATGGCACGCTCTTAAAGGCTTCGAGGCCGCTGCTCGTGTTGGCGCCCTCGAAACGTTCCGGCCGGAATACACAGGGCTCGTCAAAGTACCGTTCGTTGTAGCCCATTGCAATGAGGCACATGATGACAGTGGTGCGCTTGGCCACCTTTGTGCCATCTGTGCGGGACAATGACAATGCATTAACGGTTGACGTTCTCACAGAGTCTCGTTCACATACTTATGTCTATGGATTTGCGATTGGTGCGCGCTATCAGCGGCACAGCGGGATAGAGACGTAGCGTTTCGCGTATGACCAGCTCCAGATAGTGCATCTGCTGAAGGCGTGCTATGTCCGCCTCTCCAGTGATATCCTTTCCGAAGATACGCTGCTGCTCTTCGAACACCTTCTGCTGTACTTCTGGATGACGCGACAGCGTGTAGATGGTGAATGAGATCGCGGAGGCAACGGGATCGTGACCCTGTTGGATTAGATTTCAAAGGATGCTCCACTGCTGCTAATTGTGCTTTCGACTTACGGTAAATATAAATGTGGATAGCTCTTCGACTATGTCGCGCTCCTTGAGCGCGTCGCCATCCAGCTTGGCGGACAGCAGGACATCGATGAAGGGTTTATTTTCGATGGGCTTCTTAGTGGCCAACTCGTGTTTTCTCCTAGAAATTATCTAAAGGAAAGTGTTTAACATTATTATTTCATTTTAATCTTTTTTGTTATAATAATTTTTATTTATATTTAATATTTTTGTTATTTTTTCTTGCATGTATTTTTTTTAATTTTTATTAATTATTTATCTTCTTAGTGGCCAACTTGTGGCCAAATTTCTGAGTCTTTAAAATAAAATTTTAAATTTTGTTTTTATATTTCGTTTTTTTTTTATTATTATTATTATTTTTTTCTTAAAAATTTTTTTAAGAATTTTAAATTAAAATAATATATATTTATTTTTTAATTATTGAATTATATGTTGTTTTTATAATACGTCAGGCGTTGAATAGTTTTTTAATTTATTTATTTATTTTTGGCCAATTTTTGTTTTTCTCCCAAAAAGGTAAAGTATTGTAAATTAATTATAAATATATATGAAACATTTTTGACAACTATTTTATATTATTTTCTTTTATTATTATTATTTTATTTTTTTTTATTTTATTTTATTATTTTATTATCATTTTATTTTATTATTATTATTTTAAAATAAATTATTTTCTAATTGATATTTTTTTTTTCTATTATTTATTCATTTTGCAAATTTAATTTTATTTTAGTTGGTTACTACTTTAATTTGATTTAATTTGCATTATTTAACAAAACATACCTCCTTAACTTCGCGCCTGAGCAATTGCAGTGCGCGATACTGCTTCAGGTAATATGGACTCAAGCGGAAGAGCGCATCGCAGCGCTTGACTATGCTGAAGGTGCGCTGCAGCACGACATCACAGAGGCTAACGAAGAGTTTTGGCAGCAAATAAACATACAATATTAGTAGACTGGAAACACTTTCGTTGTAGAAAACTTACTCCTTGATGGCGGTGTGCAGATCTGAAGGCTCGTCGTTCAAGGAGTTGCTAACGCTTCCAGTCGCATTCTCTATGGTAAGTAAGCAAAATGTTTATTCAAATTCTTCAGGCATAAGCACATATTCATGCATATATCAAATATGTGTTACTTTAAGATTGCTTATCAGCTGCAATCATTTTTCAAATGCTTCAATATTTCATGTTCACCATTAGCCGATGCTACATGCTGCTGTGGCAGCCTACACTTTCTATTGGTTGCTGGGTAGAACTTTGTTCACCACACAATCTCTGGCACTTGTAGCAATTTTCTATGTAATAAATCTTTTTTATAAAACGGCCATAATAAATTACAAAAATAAACGAGTGCAACGCTGCGCCAACCGCAGCCAAGAAAGTTAACCAAAACACAAAATGCCCATGACAAATGCCTAAAGTTTTTTCTACCCTGAACCTGAACCACCTTCCACCTTCCACCAACCACCTTACCACACACAATATCCAGTGTACACTTGGCCACCAGCTCCTGGGCGTCGAAAGGTTTTGATGACTCCGATTGCTGGCGTAGCTTCTCCACAAACCTCTCGCCAGTTCGATGCACAACACGCAAGTAGCCCTCGATGGCCGAGCGCTCGAAGGCCGGCGCATAGATTTTCTGATGCTTTAGCCAGCGGGCACCGGAACTGGTGAGCAGGCCATCGCCTAGCCAGGGGCGTAGAAACGAATACAAGTGCTCCTTGTACAGCAGTGAAGAGCTCGACAACATGTTCTATGAATAGCATTTGGAGTATAAGTGCTCAAAACTTTGGCTGAGAGGAATGTGGCAGCACTCACCTCAATTTCCGCCGGATCACTGAGCATTATATGATACTGCAGGAATACCAACGACCGATAGCCATGGAAGTCATACTTACGACAATATTGCAATATCTTTTTGGGGTACTCTAGGGGGGGAAAAGGAAAATATGGCAAATTTCGTGAAAGTTTTCTATCAGCTAATTCCTAGAAAATTGAAATGAAATTTACAAAAATTCAACAAGTTATGCTCCTGTAAATTTAGTTTCGACTTTGAGGCATATTAAATGCACATTGCGAGTTTCGTTGCAGCCAGAGCACTATTGGTTTCTGCGGCACTCTCAATAATTCAGTTCTCATTCGCATTTGGCAGCTCAATTTCCAGGACTTGCAACTTGCCCTTAAAGCTGTAATTTCCTGTGCGAGAGCTGGGTTGTTTTAATAGTTTTAATAGACTGCTTGATACGCATTGCAATTGAATTTGCAAACTAGATTCGTTATACTAGAATAGAGAAGGGGAAGATAGAGCTGCGTCTTAATGAGTTTTGAGTTTATTAGATCTACATTGATTTGCAGTTGATTATGTTATGCCTGGACTTTGATGCAACTTGATATGGAAACAATTTCAATTGTAATTCCGCATGCACAAGAAAATGAGAAAGAAATGCGCAAGCTACAAACAAGGATAACAAGGCAGCAGGATGCCTACAGAGACAGGCATAGAAAGAGAGAGAGAGAGAGAGAGAGGTAGACAGACGGCAGCAATGTTATCGAAGCATGGCAAAGCTATCAATTGTTGTGCAACGTTTTGTATTCGGACTATTGTGCATTTGGAATGATTACTTGGCAAGCGCACGTTCAGAAGAAACAACACCGAAATTACTCAGCAAATTGTGCGGGCTGCCCAAGGGAGAGGCGGCCGCACGAGCACCAAATCTGATGAAAATTGCAAGAAATATTGCAAAAAAAAAGAGCAACCAAGAATAATAACAAAAAGCGCAAGCTGCTGCAAACGAATGCATCTTTATATTTATATAAATTGAGATTGAGATAAGCACATAACTGAAATTTCAGAAAATATTAAAAAATAAAAAATAATAATAACAAATAAAATTTTGCGCATGCCAATTAGTGCATAAATATAGGCCGCGGCTATCTATTCTGCTTACCGGCTGGCTTCAGTCCGAACTGAAAGATATTGCCCACGAACGGATAGGGCGTGGGTCCCGGTATCATTTCCATAATGCCCGCCATGTGATCTATGTAGTTGAATATCCTCACGCCCTTGACCACCAGAATGGTGGCCAAAATAATGCCAAAGACTAGCAGAAACATTAATTCGATTTATGACCTGATATTTGCTGAAATAATTATCTATAAAAATTTTCACAATATCTTTTGCTTTCACGCTCCGTTCGATTCGCAATCGCTTTGCTTACTGAACGACCTACGATAGAAAGGGGTCTTAAGTTTTTGGCCAAAAAATAAAAAAGAGAACAAGTAAGAAAGCTCTAGTCGAGACTGCTCGACTACGAGATCCCCTGAA